AACACTGGAGCATGTCAAAGATTCGTCCATTCCAAAAGAAGGTTTTGGATGATATCATGACGGTGATAATGGGAGAGATTGAAGCAATTGGAGAGAAAATGCTTCTCAGGTTGTTTTACAATCACCAAACCTCAAGAAGGCTTCCTTTCATGTACACACAAAACTAAAAGATGTGGCCTTTGAGGACTATGAATCACTTCACGGGTTTCTTTATCGATTTCATAAAAAAATTCCTCAAGTGGATTTACAAATCTACCGCCAGAACGGAATGCTGCGGATGCACCGCTGCATGAAAGAAAATCATACAAGTGCCATTACTGTTTTTGAGGATAAAAAGTGGAATATTGGCTTCCCGAATGGTGTCGTACCCGACCCTGTTGCGGCATTGCACTCCGCTTGTGTCCGCGAGAGTGGGACGTATTCTCGTCTACTTCACTTTGAAGCCCCACGAATGATTCTTCTGCCTGAAGAGGGGGCCGATAAAGATGCCACCGGGGCTGCGAATGGCGCCTCGAAAATCCCACCGATTTTACTGCCTTTGACTGAGCGAGAGGCGGTGGAGAATGTCTCGATGTGGCTTCGCACCGGAACACGGGAGGTGGACGTTGGTGACTGGCGCTCATGGATTAAACTTGGCATCAACACATTCCGCATCGCTTATCACTTCCGTGACGCCCAAACGTTGAGACGGCCCGCTATGGAGGAGCTGCTGGATGCGTGGGTGGAGGCCAGTAAGAAGTGTCCCATGAAATACAGGCCCGGTGTTTGCGAGGCCAAGTGGAGCAGCTTTGACATTGATAAATTATGCAAATTGCAGGATAACGATTGGTGGAGTTCATACCAGCGCATTGGGCGCGTTGCCGCGTTGAACAAGGCGGCAGATGCGGGAGGGGCAACATCCGCAACTTCGTCAAAGAAGGCAGAACAAAAATGACTTTTTTTTTTTAGAGTCACTGTTGCATCTCTTCACGCTTCTGCGCAAGTGCAGCCGCCATCACCTCGTTGATGTTTATTCTCGCGGCGGCTGAGAGGAGATACCATAGAGGTGGAGAGAGAGAGAGAGAGAGAGAGAGAGATAGAGAGTGAGAAAGAGAGAGAGAGAGCAATAGAGACTTTTTGATTGTTCAATTTTTTTCTTTCATACAGATATAAAAGGGGATAATAGAAATGAGAGCATGGATTTGCTTACGTACATGAAAATTAATCTATGCATATTTGTTGTTGGTGGATGATGCCGTTTATTGCGGGAGGGGTGGAATTGGCGGTATTTCATAGACCTTTTTTTTTTTCTTTCTTTTGAAGTTAATTATTATTGGCGGTAGTAGTTGTGAAGGTGTTATTTGCAACTATCCCCTTCTTTTTTTTCTTTTTTTTTTCTTTTAGGAAACAGGAATCAAATATAAAGAATGTATTCTTTTTTTTTTTTTTTTTTGGGTATCCACCGCCCCGGGACAAATGCTCCTTGGATTATTTCACAGGATCGCCCGTGGCACTCGACGACCAGCCACATATTTTTGTGTATGCGTGTGTGTGTGTGTGTGTGTGTGGACATTACTTGTTGTTATTCTCTGTTATTTTCACTGTTGTTTGGGTTTTCTTTGACCCCAACACATCCAAGGGGACACACTTTCTGCACGAGTTACGAGGTGAGAAGGACAGACAAACACATACACACACACAGAGAGAGAGAGAGAGAGAAAGGGTCTTACACACAATATAGCGAGCGTAAAGAAGAAAAAAGAAAAAGAACATGATGAGCAATCAATCGGTTTCATCCCACAACAACACTTTACGCGTGGGGATTTTGGGGGTGTCAAATGCGGCGCGACGTGCGCTGCGGGTCATAAATCGGGCAGGACTTTTGTTAGTGGCCGTGGGAGCGGATGATGTGGTCGAGGCGGAGAAGTTTGTTAATGCCTTTTTGGAGGATACCATCGAGCGACAAACGGAGCACACGGCTGCACAACAACAAAAGCTAGGCGGTTTACCGGTTAGTGAGGCGTCGCAGGAAGATGAGAAGGTCAAGGCATGCACATATGAAGAGCTGGTTGTTTGCCATGAGGTGGATGTCGTGTATGTGACGGTTCCCTTGGAGGAACGGGATTCGTGGGTGAGAAGATGCATCCGACAGCGAAAGCACATTCTTACTTCTATCCCTGCCGCCCCATCGGGTGACGTGTTGCAAAAGTGGATGGAGCTTGCCACCGTGCAACGACTGTTTCTCACGGACGACGCGGTGCTGATGCAAGGGACTCGGATGGGGCGTCTGTGGGAGATGTTCAGTGGACCGGGCAATAACACAGTTGGGCCGCTTCGAGCGATACGGGTGTGCTGCAGCTGTGGGTGTAATGACCACTGTGCTAGGGCACAATTCAATACGTGCGATGATGAGGACTCGCAGTTTGGTGTGCTTGGGAATTGGGGGTGGATGGCAGTGGCGGCCGTTCTGCACGGCATGCGCTACGCAATGCCAAGCTCGGTATTGGGCCGCGCGCTGAGGCGCGATGAATCGAAGGGGAATTGTGTAACGCAGTTTTCTGGGGAGCTTCTTTTTACGGATGCGGGGCCGCAGGAGGTCACGGCATACATCTATGTTGCAGATGCGGCATCCTCATCAGGAGGAGTGGGAGCAGCAGAACAGTCCCTCACAGCGTACGGCACCACCGGCTCTGTGACGCTGCACGATTTCATCATTCCCGTGTCTGATGAGGACGGCAGTGTCCACCTTACTGTTGCCTCGCATGATGCGGTGCAGGGCAAACAACTTTACCGCATTGTACGCCATGAGAAGGAATTGCGTGTAAATGAGCCGGTGACGTTTGCGGAGCTCCCCTGGCGTCGCCTGCGGGATGCGCTTTCGCCCAACCCTCATGCTGGGGCCTCTCGATTGGCGTCGCGATTCCTTGCAGACACGGAGGAGGCAACAGAATGCATGAGACGCTCATGGTCGATACAGGTGGTGATCGATGCAATGCTTGAGGCCACGACGAACTCCACGAAAATAACGAAGAAAGACGAGGAGCGGGGGAGGGGAGAGGATGGCAACACGACGAAAAAGGCATGAAAGCCGGAAGACATTCACACACAAAATGAGAGAAAAGAGAGGGAAAAGGGGGCTTTGGAATTCACGTGTTCCGTGGCACTTCCACCGCTGCTGTTGTCTGATGTCATCCTGAAATTGATGAACTCTGGGCAAAGCATTGGCCGTGTGCATGTACTTATGTGTCATTTGGACGAGACGAGAGCGGAAAAGGAATTATAACGGAAACGACAGGGGTTGGGGTTGGGGTTGGAAGGGCGACAAGTGAAGAAAAATACACAAACATGGGGCATTCAAGGAGCAGGAAGAAGCGGGTTAAGGAAAAAAGGAGGGGTGGGAAAAGTATAGAAAAACAAACAAACAAAAAGATATAAAAAAAAAAAAACACGCAAAAAATATCGGTATGGCGGAATAAATGGCGTTTGTTGGAGTTGTTTTCCTCAGTGCTGCCAACGTGACTCGTCTTGCCTGGAGCTCCATCCACCGTGCGGGGCATCACATGTGACACTAGTGGGATGCCGCAATGCGGAACGCGGGGCAGCAAATGTGGAGGAAATTTGTGACTTACTTGCCATCCCCGAGACGGGGCGTCCGCGTGTCACGACGTGTGGTGAGGCGGTTTATTTGCCCGATGTAGATGTTGTCTTTATGTCTCTCCCCGGCATGACGAGGGATGAATGGGTGGAAAAGTATGTGGAGAATGGAAAGCATTCTTGTTTAAATTTTGTCTTTTTTATATTTTTTTATCTTTTTTTTTTTTTCTCTCTCTGTGTGTGTGAGGTGTTTCTTGCAACATCTCCATCACGATTTTCTGTTTTATTATTATTATTATTATTATTTTATTTTTATTTTTGCCTTGCTGTCTGTGCCTGTGTTTGTGTGCGTGTTGCTATCCCATGATCAATGCTCCCTTTCAACTACCACACAAACGCACCGAAAGGGTGAGAGAGGGAGAGACAGTGTGAGTTTGTAGTGTACATGCATGAACATCATTACAGCCTTATGTATGCTAACTTCCCTTCTTATTTTGTTTCTACTTTTTTCCAATTCTTCCTTTATTTTTCCGTCTTTCTCTTGCAAATATATATATATATATATGTTTCCTTTT